CATATCATACGCAATTGTATTGATACTAAATTGTGGAATAAATTTGAAGTGTTTGTTAAAATGTCAAAGTACTACTTTGTTTGCCAATCAGCACGCGACAATACGCTGTTCAAACTATTGAACGAAATTGTGTGGACTGTCGATAAGGTGGGCATTTTTGATTTTAATTATAAATTATAAGTTAAAAAAGAACATAAGAGGCAGAGAAAACGTAAATATAAGTATTGAACTGTTTTTGTATGATATTTATGATCTATTTGAATGACACAGCTTTGCAAGCAAACAAATCATAATGCGCAACTTAATTAGTTGGATTTTTTTCTCTGAAAAATCTTATATAAAGATCATCATTAGTATAAAACCGCTGGAATACTTATACGTAGACACTTCATACGTCCGTCGTGTGGTTTGGTGTTTGAGTGATATGGCCATTACTTCGAATGCAGTAAATAGAACGGTATCCAAATTCAGCTCGTCGATCACTTGTTTTGACAACAGTATTGCTTTCATTTTAAAGGAACACAACATGTTGCTTGCTTCATTACGAAGAAACGTTTACGGTAGTTTACAGCAAAGTTGACAAATCACAAAAGTATCAGCCATAACTAGCACTGGTGAAGCAGGAGTCATTGTGCACGGTATACGCATACGTAACGGTTTGATTGTCGCGTAGTAATACACTGTTGAACCGCATAACTGCGTGAACTATAACGTCTTTCCCCATTTAATTTGGTCACTCATAAAGTGTTTAGAAACTTTGAATCTATAGGTTAAATCAAATGATAATGTATAGCAAGAAAAAACGTTTACGTATATAGTAAGGCTTTTTGGTTGCTAACTTTGTTGCAACGAATAAAAAATGTTTAGTGGCAAATCAATACGAGGTTGGCTACAAGTTTATCAAAAGGATATAAGTGGTGTTACAAAATGTATATAATTATAGTCATTATCGGTCGAATAGCTGTCTCTCATATACAAACCATTCTCTTACATTCTACTGAAGCTATCAGTGCAATATCGATATGACGAAATAGCAGGGCGGAAATTTCTAAAAGAGATATTCTCAATATCATTTACCTCAAAAACAATCGTATTTGTTTATTCAATAACACTTACGTGTTGGGGTTCTTTGAAGTTCATCCACATAAACGCGTTCATAATTTTGTGAACTCATGGCGGTCTTGTCTGGAACAGATGACGTTTATAAGAAAACAATTCCAAGTAGGAGTTTCCCCACATGTATATTATTGTACATATATATGGCAGCTTTGGAGTAAAGTACCTCAGCAAATTATAAGTTACAGGTATCATCAGATTAACAGTAACCTACCTTATGTATCAGAAGGAGTTAAAAGTGCTGGCGCTACAAGTGCTGTCTGATATGCGTAGTGGTATAATATATTAATCACAAAATCTTGGTCTTTCCCTTCTTGTCTATGTACTTCCTGGTTCCGGCTGTACCTCTCTAAGCACCTGTCTTTATATTACCCTGGCTGTTACCTTGGCAGATTAATTACATGTTTCCTGCTGGAAATGGGTCTTGGTATTATCTCTTTGTTCGTTTTTATTTAAATTTGTCGACCTCTAGTGTTAACTATATTCGTTAATAGCAAAATTATTTCTCAGAGCATTGACTTAAATCTGATACCTGTGTGGATATGTAAAGCTGTTTCGAGACAAAAATCCCGGAAACGGCAACAGAAACCGTTAGTTTAAGCAATATAAACAACACCATGTGTATCAACATATAAGACATACTTTTGTTTATCACAAAGATACTATTGTTATGAATAGGCGAATGGACCTAGAAAAGGATGATGTTGAACTTATATGGTTAGAAGTATTAGTTAATAATCATATATTTCTTCTTGGATGTTTATACAGACCAGAAAGTAATGTTGAATACTGGAATAAATTAGATAATACGTTGACCAGAGCTACAGATACTTCACTGGATGTGGTACTGACAGGTGATATCAATATTGATATGTTAAATCATCCGTTGAATGATCACTTATCAAGACTCCTTATCAAACATAATTTACTTAGTCTTATTAATGAACCCACAAGAATAACACCTGACAGTGCCACATCCATTGATATTATCTTTACTAATAA